AATTCAAGTTAAATCAATCCTCGTGCGAACAATACTCGAAATTCTAGGATTTCCACTTTATTACTTGTCAACGAACCGTACACTTGCGGTGATTTTATTCGAAGCATATTTTCTGTATTTGTTATTTGGATGCGTGGTTACTCTTGGATTCTTAGGGATTTTTTCCATGTATGGTGAGATTGAGGAAGGGCCTCTAGGGTTTGATAAGCGGACTAGGAAGTCAAAAGGTTTTCCCTTTTTCGTTTATAAAACTGATGAGGGTGCAAAAGCTTTGTTGCTTGAACCCATGAAGAGTATTGATGGACATCAAGTTGTCTGTAAGTGTGGCCATCAAGATTCTTGATAAAGAGAAGGTTCTTAAGCACGACATGATTGGTCAGATATTGTTATATTAATCAATTAATTCAATATTTACTTGTTTCTAAACCTTCTTTAGCTTTGTTTCATAAGTTGGTGTTTGAGTTTTGCTTTAGATTGTGTTCATGTACCGAAGAAGTTTGGGTTGACTTTTAAAATTTCAACAGCTGATTTTTTTTTTCTTACTATTTTATTGATTTGTAGTGTTGAATGATAACTAGTGGAATCTTATTACTGTTAACCATGGTGTTCTTGAGTAAAAGAAACAGAACAAAGAAATATTTTTCAAGGTTGTACATCTCTTTTCTTTGTTAGTGAAATTGACTGATCAGATGTTCTTTGTATGCAATTGCTGATATGGGGCACCAAACTATTTCCTCAAACATTTAAACATATTTGAGTGGATGATTGAAATTTAAATTGATAAATTGAGCTATAGTATATTAATGTCCGAGTATTGTGGTTACAAAATACCTTAAAAGATGCTACAATAAATCTCAATTATAAGTTGATCCCACTTGTATGATCCTTTTTATGAATTTTTTAATAAAGTTTTGTTTTCCAAGTCTTTCATTTTGGGCAATTTACATCATGGAAACATTTCGGACTGTGTCTTAATTTTGTGCTCTCTTGCAGATTAAGTGCGAAATCTCAACCATGAAATTAATCAGACACCCAAATGTCATCCGCATGTATGAGGTATGTGGTTGGAGTAAACTTGTTTAGCCCATTTATCGAGGAATAATAAGGCATATATTGCACGTCTCCTGGAGTAGTCGGTTTTGCATGCAGTTCTTGTGAAAAATTCGATAACTCTGACTGATGAATTTGGTGTAACCTAGGTTACTGTAAGCAAAACAAAGATGTATATTGTTATGGAATTTGTTACTGGCAGTGAACTCTTTGACAAAATTGTAAGTTTATGATTGCTTCTAAGATAAAACTACAAGAAAATAACAGTCCGAGGTAGGGCCTCTTGATGGAATAAACAACTGAAATTTTTTTTGTATGCCACTTTGTCCAATGCCTCACCAATAAACGCTTCACTTCTCTCCAACTTATCTGTCATATAAGTTTACACTGTCTTGCTTCTAAATTTACAGATAAAAGTTATGCATATCTACTCTTGTACTGTTTAGCAAATTATAAGTGAAATGGGAAAGATCAAAGATACAAGATTAATTCTTTTGAGAGCTGAGATTGATGTCTGTAGAGATTCAATACTCCAAATTAGCCAAACCAAACATTCAATCAACAAGAATTAAATGTAAGAAACTGAAAATAATACAAGAACACGAGAGAATCTTTC